CTCTCCCCGCCGTGGCCGCTGCTCTCCCCGCCGTGGCCGCTGCTCTCCCCGCCGTGGCCGCTGCTCTCCCCGCCGGCACCCGAGAAAGCGTCCTCTAGAAAGGGGTGTACACATATTTTGAGCGAGGAGTTAAGTGCGTCTAGAGGCGTGCTGCTCCGGCTGCTTGAGGAGTGCCCTAATTGTGATATATAGGAAGTGAGCCCTTTGCTGCCTTGGAGGCGACCCTGGAAGCACAAATCTCGGGGTGGGGGCGGCCAGGGTGTGTGTGTTGCGTGTGGAAGGGCTGGGCATCAGCATTCTGTAAACGGCAGCAAGCAAAGTGGGATCTGAACGTGTTCTGTCCCCAGGAAAGGCCCTGTCACTAGCGATGGGCGGTGGGGGTGACACAGTTGCCATCTTGAACCGAGGGAAACATTGTAGCTCAGCCCACCAGCGATGGCAATATTGTTCCCAGTTAGGCATGGCCCGCGGGAGCGGAATTTCCTGAGTCTCCAAGATGGAAAATAGGGTGCGGGTGCTGATACAATTTGTATTTAGTCCCTGCGTTGTGATTTAAAAAAAAAAGGGGGGGGGGCTTCCTAGAAATATGTTATAGAATTCCAACCCAGTATGATCTGAATATTGACCCTTCCATCCTGGACTTGGGGTATTGTCTTTCCCCAGGAAACCACTCAAACCATTCTGAGGAGGGCTGTTTGCTGCCTTACAATAATTGGTTGTGGAATGAATTCTAGTATCTTATTTTGAATAAGTCATGGTGAATGGGGATATTACCAGTACTGGTACTAATATATTCTACATTCCTAAAGTCTAAGCTTCTTCAGGCATGCATCCCCAGTGTAAGCATATTTTTAAACTGCATGTGTATGCTTTGTAAATACAAAATGTATACCACAAGACATTTTGTGAGGACAAGAGGGGAAAAAATGGATTTGTGCCTTCTAGTATTTCTGCACCCCATCTTCTTACATGGTTTGGTGGATATATGTCTGCTTAACACATTTCTTCTATTTGCCAGAAAACCAAAATTGCCATACATACCTTGGAAATAATTGGAGCTTGACGCTTTGAATCCGGTTCAGTGGGTAGATGTGCATAGATTGAAGTCTCTTGAATTAAGAAAATGCCTGATGAAGGTCTATGGGAGAGAAACGTTCATTATTGCTATCTTAATTCCGTAGCATTGAATGTAATCTGTGGGTTTTTTAAGTTTGAGCTGAGGAATGTGCCCAGCCTTCTATTAAAGTGCATAGGGATGGATTTTATCAACATGGATCCCAGGGAAGGTGGGTCATGGCTAGTTTGGCAAGCCTGTGCTCATTAGGTTACCTCACTGGCATAAGCTCATCTAAAATGTGCTAGTCATATTTGAGGTCAGTGTGGTATCAGCAGTCTGGGGAACCATTTGTGACTGCTTTAGCTTCCCAAAAAGTAAACTACACTGGTTTTAGGGTTGCATAGACTTGCTTTTGGTCTGTAAAATTTTTGTTTCCAATGGTCAATTCTTGGGGGGGGGGCAGTAAAGATATTTTAGGAAGAAAACAGGCACTTTCTCCCAGACTGCAGTTCTTCTTCCATTGATACTACTATACATTCTTTATGATTCAGGTGCTTTCAAGTTAAATACTAGGACATGGAATAAAGAAATCCGGAAAATGTTTGAAGATAAGAATAAAACTCCCTTTATACATCCTAGTTCTTTCTCCCATTTTAGCTGTTATAAATGTTAGCATCCTTTCAGCTTGAAGGACATGAAAACCAGCATTAAAATGTATAGTTTCCTAAAGCATTACTTAAAATGGAAACCACTTTCTTACACATAAAATTGTGAACATAGCTGTTCAGCTTTTTGTGTTGTCATTTGACAAACGTGGTACATACATAGAAA